CCGATTAGCTCCTGCTACGAGCCACCCAAGCCCGATACGCCACCATCTGAGGTAACTAATAAACAATAGCTAAAAGAATTTGATAAATATATATACACTTTCTATTCACGCTCTTCTGCACTAGAAATTGCCCTTCTGGATCGATCCCATTTGGAGCAACCAGTCGCAGCAGCCCAAGCAAAATTCGCTCAACATTCGTCTGCCAGAGCTCAAGGCTCCAAATGTCTTGCCCATGCTGCTATCGCCATATACCATATCCAAGCATGTGAATATGAAGCGGCAGATGTTTAACTTTGATAATCACGATCGCAAGATTGCCTAAACATAATCATAATAATAATAATAATAATAATAATCTCAACTTAGATCTTAAGTGCCAAGTGGAATTGTAAAACTTTCACTTTTTCATTCCAAAAATTTGGGTTCCTGGTGAGCCTTGAAATTGTTACAATTTGATTTCATATCGATAAGCAAGATTTTGTCTCTATTCAAAAGAAAAAAACACAAGAAAAATATTCCTTTAGTTGTAGCGCAATTTGTTAATGCCTTTCTATTGATACTACGAAAATTACGAGGATATATCGCATAAGATTGCTTTCTTTTATAAATTTGTTACACGGATCACAATCAACATATTTTGTATTTTAGTCCTTAAGCTACAAATTGTAAATTGCTCAAAATTGTTGAGTCAAAACGTTAGAAAAAATATATATATTTTTTGATCGAGTTATTCAAAAGATTTTTTATGGGGTATATGATACTTAAAGAGAGATTTTTTGTTTTACATATTGTTGCTTGGGACGACAAACTGAATCAAGCTTGTCCGACTGTCCTGAGCATAAGTATAACTTCAATTTGAACTATAGCTTAGTTTTCTATAAATACGAATTAAGAAATATCCTTTTGATTCAACGCAGATGGTTCTTGGTTTTGATTGATAGGGTATCGCTTAGTCGAACCGAACCGACAAGAGTTTTATTATATGTTTAAGCTAAGTTTTCATTCAGTTCATTCGCAGACTAGAGTTTTTTTCAAGTTTAATTTAAAAATGATTTCTATTAAAATTGGTGTAAAATGTCTTAAAAATTTGGCGCGACGTGACGAAAGATTGCGTTGGCGAGCTCAATTCCAAAGAAGGTCGCCGCATTAGCCGGAAACGCACGAAGTATAACGGGTGTAAACCCACTGAAAGCATAAGGAAATACAGTTATATATAGCATTACTAGTTTGTAAACGTAAAAACAAACCGATATAGTGCAGAGATGCCATCATTTTTCCTTAGATCTTTAAAAACTGCCCTTATGCCATCAAACGTGCCATCGGGAGCTGATGGAATCAGATTTGGATTAGATCAAACAACGACTACGAATTCTATTGATGTAACTGCCCTCCAAACTTACCAGATTGTAAACGACTTTTCAGCACATCGGCCGGCATACCGCCAATCCAGTAAAATATGCCAGCCATGCCACCTGCGATAATAGCCGGAATCAGATCAACATTTGGCCGATTGAAGCGACGCTTGTACTCGTCCGTCATGATCTCATAGCTTAGAAAGTACAGCCCATTGGCGGGTATATCTGAAAACAAATATGAGCTTATATATTAATTTATATATATGTATAGAGTTAAAAATCACATGTCAAGAGTGTTAACGAAATTATCGTGTCCTACTCGTGGCATAGCTAACCAAGCCAGCAATAATATAATTGCCATGCGCTCGTTGCGCTGATGATGTGTGCTAATAACGTGTCGGTGTCGATTAGATTACAATTCACTTTATCGTATAATATGGATATGCATTAAAGGCAATCCAATTAATGTTGACTAATTGCTAGTGCTACACGAGTCGAAGACAACACGCGCTGTCGTTCGAGCCAGTGGCTGTCAAACTGAATTATTGCCTCTCAAACTGTTTCTTATCAGTTTGAAATTAATTCAGTTTAACATAAAATTGCTCAAGTCTCGAAACAGCACAGTGCTTGCTAAAAGTACACTGCCACTGCTTTACAATGAAACGTATATGTGCTACATGTTTAGCCATAATTTGTTCGACTTCTGTTTATCAATTAAAACATTTGATTCAACATTAAACTTAAGACTTTAAGCATTTTGCTTTTTGTTAAGATATATACCTATATATATTTGATTAATATATATATTACATGTCTAGAATTGTATAAAAACCATTTGCATTTTGATTTCCTTGAATTCTTACACTACAATCAATAAATCAGCTTGAATTTTATGCAGATTTTGTTTAAAGCATACCAAAGCAAACAGTTAACACTGTCTTACATATATATG